GTTAAATTTCTTTCGTACAAAAACGATAAAACTCAAAGACCTCATCAAAAATGTCAACCGCCACCTTTTAAAAATGCAAAAAGAATCAAAGAAACGGCACAAAAGCTGCTGAGGAAGCATAAAAACAAATGCGTGCTAAAAGACAGCTGAGTTTGTGCTGCTTACGAAAGGAAGCGGCTGGCAGGACAGAAAGCAAGATGTTCCAGCCGACAAAGAAGCGAGCGCATGCGAAAACAATTGAAGCGTGCAAAAAAAAAGCAGCAGCAATAACAACAACAGCAACGACTTGCGAAAGGGGAGCAAAGCAAACGCAAAAAGCAAAAGTTTTAACGCAAAGAACCCAAACCGAAACCGCACACACACACACGAAAGAAAGGAAATTCATGTGATGGGAAACGGAAATCAAAAGCTGCTACAGTGTTTGCTGTTGTTGTTGTTTTTGTTGCTGCTGCAGCAGCTTTGCATATAATTTATGGGCCTAAGGGCAAAGGAGAGACAGAGAAGCGTAGCAAAAGCTGCTTATGAACGACGACGCAAAGATTGAATTTGTTTGGGCGGAAAATGAAAACGCGAAGCAGGCCCTGGGTAGAGCCCCATCTGTGTTGGGGCATAAGTAATATGGAAAAGAGGTAAAAAACCAAATGTGTATCAAGATATGTTTATTTGCAGAGCGTTGGGGCCCGTGCAGGTGTGAAATGCGATCGGACGACGACGGCAGGCAAATGAGGCCATCACACACACACGCACACACTCACGCATTAATAGAAGTAACCCTTTTCGTTCGAAGTTGCTTGTGACACACGTTTTGGCTGTGGTTGTTTTTTTTTTTGTTGCTTTCATAATTCTCTTCTCACACGACGAAGAAACCAAAAGCGACAAAAAAGGCGATACAGGAAATGTAAAACCAGTCAAGTACACAAAATAACCGCAACAAAAGCTCGAGAATAAGAATCTGTCGCCTCTCTAGTCGCAGATGCTTTGTTGGTTACAGTTATGAGCAGACAGGGACCAAATGAATGAGAGGGAGCGAGAGAGAGAACGAACGTCAGGCATAGGTGCGAGGGGCGCCCATTCATGAGCATGCGGCGACGTTGACCTTTTTTGATATTGGCACACACATTAATCGATGTGAAGAAACTTTGTTGTTATCGACAGTAGGACGTGCAATAAAAACAGAAAAATCGAGGTTATCAGCATCGTACATCGCAATTCAGCTGCTCTTGATAATCATTCATAAAACATCTAATTTGCGTCTGTGTTGGTGAGACGGCATATGTATGCACGTGTGTGTGTTTGGTAGGCGGCAGCGACAGAGAAAAGTACACCGAATTCGAATTCCATTCATGAAAAAACCCACACATCGCTCAATGTGCACATGTATGTGTATGTATGCGTGTGAGTCTGTGTAAGTGTGTTGGCACATGCGCTGAAGCTGAAGCGTCGTCACTCACACACAAACATAAGCGAAATTCATTCACAAAAAGGGGCAACTGCATGCGGCAGCGGGGGCGATGCCGTAACATTCAGCCAGGCAACGGTGTCGGCTGGTCGACAAAACAGCCAGCGGAACTAGCTTCGTGTTGGCTTTGCCAGCAGCAACAACAACAATGTTAAATGTTGGTTTGTTGCTTGCTGCATCGAAAAAAAAACACGCGCGACTGTCGCAAGAGCGAGATGGCACGATGCGGCTATGGCAAGCGCGAAAACAGCACCGCACGCTGTTGCCTCACACTCACACACAATAATGCATTTTCAGCCAAAAAGTAGCATTTTATACTGTATTTTGTTAATGTTAAACATCATTTAATTGCATTTTGCTAATTACTATAATCACTAATTCATTATTTTGTTCGCTGCACGCTTTTCTTTCAAAAACGTTTTAATTTTATTTTCTGTTTCACGTTTGCTTGGGCGCCTCTTGACGACGCGCTCGCATTCCAATACACTTTTCGCATAGAAAAACTAACGTACGCGTATAAATTATTGTTAGTTGGTGCGCAGACGGGTTTCATTTAGTAGTTGGTTTTGTGTTTTCATTGATTTGCACAGGTTTACATACCAATTTTCACTTTTAATTGCTCTTCAATTCGGACTTCGCGTGTTTCAGCCATGTTGGATCCATAACTACTGCTGCTGTTGTTGTTCGCGTTGGTGTTTCTGTTGTTGCTTGCCTCGACAACAGCAACGATGTCAATAGCGTCGTCCTGCTCTTCACACATATATCGCTTCTTTTTTAACAGCATTATGTTGGTGTTGGTTCACAGTGTTGCATTTAGATAAGAATTGTAAATGAAAATAACTCGATTTCGTTCTACCGCAACCGACGGAATACAACGTATGCGTTTTGTATGAGATTTTTTTTGCTGATTTTTGTATATAAATGCTTTTAACATCACTTTATTGTTGCTTTAAGCACTTTTCGTGTATTAAAAACTTGCATACAGACCACATCACTTGTAAGTTTCTATTCAATATTGTATTAGGCCGACAACTACTACGAGTAGATGTTCAAAATGCAATGAGCTAAATAATATTCCGATTACGACTTGTGGAAGAGAGTAGTAAAATGCAACAAAATTACTCCCGCGCGCAGCGACGCACAACCGTCCGCAACGAGAAATGAAACGATAATGAGCGACGACGAATAACAGGCACACAAAAGAAGAAGAATACGACGATTCAACAAGAGAGCAAAGAGAGAGAATGCTCACAGCATAGTATGCTGTTAATACAATTGACTGACGAGTGTTGCCTTGCCATGTGCCGAACTTTCATAATTTAAGGGTTATAGATGTATCAATGATAATCCGTGCATTTAAAAAGAGTGACTATTTTTGATTTCAAAACATTTTAATTTCTTGCTACGATTTTTAACTACAAGCGCGAGAGTAACATGAGCAAAATAATCGAATACGTTTACTAACACTGGAAGCACAGTATTTATCGAACAGCTGAATAATGGCGCAAAACGCTTAAATCAAACAAAAATAAACGGCTTTTTGTGGTAAAAATATATAAATATTAAAAAAGACATGAAATATGTGTTTTATGCTATATGCATATAAAGCTTTTAGCTAGAGCGATTGTGCAACCATCTCAAATAAGATTTGTACATTAATTCATACCAGCTGAACATTTTATGAATGAAATTGAAGCTGATCAACAGGGGATGCGCCGGCAACACGCATGCAACATTGACACATATAAACACACACACATGCACACACACACACAAACTGGGACTGGTGCACACATGTTGCTTTAGCGCCAAGCGGAAGCAAAGTGAGTTCCGGGAAAGTTTCGGGCGTTTTTGTTGCACCGAGTGCGCTACAGGCGGTGAGCTACTTAATTATATTGTATTTATGTATTTGTATGAATTATATATGTAAGTAGTGAAACATTCAAGCATTTATGTATTTTGCGGCGTAATCAGAGGTTAGCCAAATTGTCACTTGACTAACTTTTTGTACCGTTCTGACATGTCCATATACCATACGTACCTACATGTAGGGTATTTTTTTTTTAGGTGGGCGTTACGGTTCAGGGGCCAAGAGACCGGCAATCTACGGCCAACTGCACAAACGACGACGCAGTGAAATTTAAATTTACACGCATTCATTCAGTTTTTTTTGTTTGTCTGCATTTGCTGCTGCTCTTCGAAGTTTAAAACCCAAACACACACACACATACATACACAATAGCTACAACAGCAACAACTAAAACAACAACAGCGGCGTCTTATCAGCAACCGCACACATTCACATTAGGCGTTGCCGGCGCCGCCAATAAGTGGAAGTGCACAAGTGGTTGTTGCATCGCATTCGTCTAGCTGCGTTGTTGTTGCTGCTATTTCCGTGTGTGTCCTGTACATGTGTTTTCTTCTTTCTCGGCACCTTTGACTACCCTTAAGTGAAAAGTATATATTTACATAACTTATAACTTATGCAATTTATAAGGCTGGAACAAATGTTCATTTGTGGTTCGGTTCACGTTCAAGGTTCGGTTCGCTAAACTGGTTCGTTCAGGCTAAGACATGCGGGTTCTTTGTCGAGATAAACCGTTATATATATGCGGTTCATGTTAAATATAATATTGAAATTTTAGCTTAACATTTTATGATTTAAATTCGATTTGCAGCCTTGATAATTGCAGAATTTGTGAAGTTAGGGTATATCCAAAATGATGAAATGATTTTTTCATTGCACTTTACCAAATTGTACATCTATCTTCTAGTAACATTCTATCCATATTGAAAACTCAGCTGAAAGTGTCTGAAATTTAAAGGTAGGGTATTACCAAGTTGTGTACTTTTCTTGTTCGTGCAAGTTGCGTGCGTCCGAATGTCATTTGCATTTTCATCATTTCGCTTAACGAAACGTAACCAACGTGGGAAGTTGGACCGTCTGCTCGTCAAGTGATCTGGCTCCAGCTGTCCACTTGCCCACGTCTGCCTTCGCCCTCCATCCGTCCAAGGTGCATTCGTCTGCATCTGTGATAAAAATAGAGTTTTGTGGTAGTTTTTCTTTTTTTCTAGTTATTGTAGCCGCATTTATTTTCGGGTTTCTTTTTATACCCTATACTCATGGGCTATGATGGTTTTGTGAAAGAGGCGATATATAAAACGATATATATAGCGAATTTCGGATAAGAAACTTTGAGCAAATTTTGAATATTATAAGAGCCAAAGAGACGGCATAAACGATCTTGAATAGTTAACTCAAGCATAAGAAGAAAGTTGGAGACCTTTTCTTAGCTGGGTGCAGGGTATCTGCCCTTTGAGCACTCCAACGTTTCTTTTTATTTAATATACCTTTTGTTATGTCGATTTAAGTGTTGCTGTTTTTGGTGGTCATTTTGTTTGGCTTCCGGTATTTTGTTAAAAAAAGCCATTTTCCCGGCTTTGACTTGTTTAATTTATCACATTTATTTCTGTAACTTGTATTTAATTACAATATGGTGCATACATCAATATTTTTGGTTATATCGTTTGTTTAAATTTGTTTTTGTTTAGTTTATTAAGTTTTGTGCTTTGGATCGCTTAGCTATACATTTTTTTTTGGCGTTTTACACATAAAATCACTAAAAATGTGGATTTTCTTTAATATATTTTAAATTTACGTATTTACAAACATTGATCTAATGAAATATGTTGAAGATATTTGTACAGCAATTTCAAAATTTGTTCATCTTGGACTTATCATCGTTAAAAATGCTTTCAATTATGCTAAAAGTATTAAGCTAAATTGAAATTTATTTAATTAATGCACATCTTAATCAAAACTACCATAAAACGAATAAGTTATTGGCAAATTGTTATTGAATTAGATCAAATTTTTTGGAAAACTGTGGAGTTTTAACTACGCATTATTTGAAAAGATCGTTGATTCTGGAACTCTACATTTATTTTTTCTGAAAATTCGCTTAGTTGAAAAATGAACGATCTCTATTTGTACATATAAATATATACTTTTGTGTATATATATATATGCTTATGAAACGACTAGAACTGTGCTGAGATGATGCAATACAATTATCGAATACATGAATATAATACAAAAATGGATTTCTGTCGACTTTCCTAGACAACAAATAAATGGATGTTTGATCTATTTGGAAGCCGGTTCCTTTAGCTAGGTTATTCATTTGAAGCACTGCTTAAAATCTTCTAAAAATAAATTCTACAGCTATTTTTGGCAACTGACTTGTCCCATGGACGATCCACATGCCGGGGGCCCGACTTAGACCCAATTGGTGCGCGTGGTAGGCTATAAAGCATCGTTGTGGCTCTTGGATATGGTTGTCTCGATCTGATCGATGCGCCGAAACGAGGGCATGTACGTGGAGCTGGCCTGTGTGACAATCGAATTGTTGGAGGAGCTCTGCAGGGATAGAGATATCTATTGGAGAGATGGAGCATAACCGATGCTGCACACATTTACCTTCTTCTGGCGATAGGAACGTGCTCGCACGCGTGTCGTATTCCGCCGCACGGGATTGATCGTGGTCGACTTCTGGGAGAGACGCACGGAGCTGAAGGTGCTGCCCCGGTGTCCACGGCGAATTTGTGGCGAGGGCGTGCCGGTGGCTGCAAGGAAGTAGATAAAGTTGACATAAGCATATTCAGATATCAATCAGCTGGGGGTGCTCACGTGTGCCTGGTATCGCGGTGCTGCGCTTGGTGGCCTGCATCATGCCAAAGACGACGGCACTGAAGGAGCCGTGGTGGGAGGTCTGTCGCTGTAGATTGGGCGTCTGGGCGAGTGGTATGCCCGCCGGCTGACGCACTGGCGAGATTAGCTGGCTGTCGGAAATGCCCTTCGGATGCACATAGAAGGTGGTCATCATGCCCTTGCCCTTCACATTGACCTCGCCTCGTTTCTGCATAACGAAAAAGTCTAAGACTTTGCCTCTCTATTCATTTCAAGCCTCAGAGCTTACCACACACGTATAGCCGCGCGAGCAGAGCAACTCCGCCGTATTGTCCGGCACCTGGACCCGCCAGTTCTCGCCCGTGGAGTCCATGCGCGAGGCCACGTTCACCGTGTTGCCCCATATATCGTAGACAGGCTTGCGAGCGCCGATCACACCGCTGACGAGGGGTCCACTGCAGATGCCAACGCGCAGCTGGAAATTGTTGAACGCATCCCCGTTGATCTCCTCCAGCTTCTTCTTCATGGCAAACGCAAACTCCACCAGGTCACAGACGCTATCCTCAGACGTTTCCCCCCGCACGCGCAAATGCTCGTGATTGAGTCCAGCGGCAGCCATATAGGTGGCACCCACGGTTTTTATTTTCTCGACGGATGCAAAGCGCGGCTCCTCTAGCAATTCATCAAAGTCGCCTGGGGCAGAGACAGAGACAAAAAGCATCATTAGCCATGCGACTCCAAGTGAGACTATTAAATCAATCAACTTACAGATAATCTCATTCAGGATGCGAATACACGCCTTGCCATTGTCGATGTCCTCCGAGTAAAAGTCCTGGAAGTTGGGTATCGAGGCGAACATAACGCCGCACAGATTGTGCATTTTGGAATAGAGCTCGTCCGTGTGCTCGTCGGACAGGTAATAGGCCGCCACGTGGTCCGGCAGAATGTTCTGTGTGCCAAGTCCAAATCAGGCGTTTAATTAATGAGCAATCATCAGGACGGGGAGTGGGTGGATGGTGAGAAAGGGGAGGGGGGGGGGGGTGGCTAAGGTAAATGAAACTGTACCTTAATTAATGTGTCATTAAGCGCACGATTCGATTTCATGTTGGTCAGTTCCCGCTCCGCTTGCTCCTTCCAAATGAAGTCCAGGCGCGAGGTGACCTGTGTGCGACAACGGGCATTATAGGGAGCTGCTTCGTTCTGATGGTACCGGCAAGTGCTTACCTCCACGAGTCTAGCATGATAGCACACCATGATTAGAAAGGTGATGAGCAGTATCAGCATTTGGACGCCCAGGGGCATGCCGTTCTTCCTCAGGTTGACCAAGCTGAAGCTCTCTTCCGTGCTGAACCGGATGAAGATCAGCGTGGTGTAGAATGCGACCATTGCCAGGGCCATGATAGCCTTAATCAGGTAGTAGAGCTTCAGGGCTGTGGCCAGGGAGACGAGGCACAGCACCCAGGTGAAGACAATATACTCGCGATGCACACAGCCCAGGTTGTCGTCCAAGCTGGACCCGAACGAGCTCCTGCTATTTCTGGTCAATGCGTAAGGTCGATGCGACTGCTCAAAGGACTCCAGCGGTGTGCTCGCATTGGAAAAGGTGAGCGCATTGGCAAGTGTTTGACGAACTAGCTCATCGGACGCATTGATGAGACTCTCATTGACCAAGGATACCAATGATATGGCCGAGGTGCCGCCACTCGCTGGGGTGCGTATCGTGAAGTTGTGCTGTATCGTTTGCGAGATGGAGACAGTCGCGTCCATGTCCAAGGCGGCGACCGAAACGTTGGAGCTGCTCGCGAACTGGAAGTCATTGGTACCATTGTAGCTGGAGGATGGGCAGAGCACCAAGCCAATTGCGCTGAGCAAGCACATGGAGACGATGACCCCACAAATGAAAAGCGTGCGGCGTCGACGCTGATGGACCAGCTTGGCGGAATTGATTTTCAGGCAGCTGGGCAGGCCTAGCCAGGTATCAGATGGCAAACATAAGCGAGGCCGGCAATTGTTGCGTGTGTGTGGGTGACTTACCTGGAAACTCCTCGGCCATTACCAGGACACAACAGAAGGTGAGCACAACAGTGCCCACAGCCAGGCATGTGATGACGGTGGTGCAGCGTGGTATAATGATGACCTGGCAGAGCACCATAAATATCCAAATGACAAATACACACAACATGTTGGAGCTGTGGGGCCAAGCAGAAGGCAGAAATCAATTAGCAACAGTTCATTAATTAACAGTCAACAGCCAGAGATTGGGTGGCATGCCACATGTACTTAAATATATATGTGTATCTACGCACCGGAACATATCCTCGCGCAGCTGACAGAATTTCTGCTCCTGGCTCTTGTCGATGAATTTCAGTGTCCAGGCATTTAAATACTCGCGTCGTATTTCCTTATTCGAATTGATTTGTATATTCTGTTCGATGAATTCGTCAATCTGAACGGAACGTTCTATTAATAGGCAAGCTCTCCGCATATCTAGTTCGCCGGGCTACCTACCTCTTCGTCCAGTGCGGTAACCGATACGCGATGATCCAGTTTGGGATCCACCAGTATGGAATCTGCACGATTTAAAGCTTCCTCCGGACTGTTCAACTGCAAATGGTAATTGAAAATGGAAATGACCTCCAAGAACGAGCGCTTTGCTTAAGCTACCGATGGTTAGGGTTCTCTTGGACCTTACTTACATTTCTGAATGGTATCTCGGGTATCCACTCGGTCGTGCTCTCGTCCTCGATGACCAGACCCTTGGCACTGATTGCCTCCGTCAGGTTTTGTATGCTGGCGCCATTGCGCGGCTTTAGCTGCTGTTCGAGTGGTGCGGACATAATGGCCGTGGGCGAGGATACGGTGGACAGGCCGGCTGGTGCACCTGCGCCACCTGCATTCGCATTGCCTGCAATGGCGGCGGCAATGCCGTTGCGCAGCCGGCGATTATCGAGGGGCACGCCCTCGACCACATTGGGCAGCGAATTGAGCGAGATGTTCTTCTTCTGCTGCTGCTGCAGCAGTTGGGACGGCTGCTGCACAGCCATGGCCACGGCACACTCCAGACTTCGTCCATCGATGCTGCCACCGTCGCCGATGCCCACAGCTGTGGTGCTGCCCATGCTGCAGTCGTTGCCGCTGCCGCTGGCCGAGATCGACTTGGGCAGCGCACTAGTTATGGGCGTGCCAACGGCGGCGGGGCCAAGGCTGCTGCTCAGATGGGCGCTGCTGCGGGTGCCAAAGCGTCGCTTGGGTCTGCGCCAGATTAACGGTGGTTAAATGCCGGCCAAGACGGACGGATTCGAAGACTTACCGCAAGGGCTCCGTTCGCTTGATAAGATAGGTGGTCACGTTCAGCTTGTTGAGATGATTATCCCGACTGCCGCCGTTGCCCGGCTCCACCTCGTAGGCATCGTTCAGGCAGTTGAGTGTCGCCTCCGAGATGTGAACACGCCTGGCAAGGGGTTGAGTGGGTAAATAGATGACAGGTCGGTTGGTTGGTTAGTTGGCGAAAATTAAATTCAAATATTTGTCCACGTTTTCTGCGTCTGAGCGTAGAGCTCGCCTTTCATAATTGGATTGCTCTACAATATGGTTTCCTGTTCCTTGCTGTCGTTAAATGTTTATATTTCTGTTTCTCTGGCTCTGGCTTTTGGCCAGGCCACAATTACATCAAAGCGTTTTGCATTAAATGGAAACTTGTTCTACTTTTCATCTTATTCGGTTCGGTTTGTGGTCGCCCTGATTCGACTCTCCGATTCCAATTCTCTACTAGATGGGTTGTTATTGCTTTTTCTGGTGTTGGTTTCTTGTGTCTAAACACGCTGAGTTTGCGAAAATGACGAGGCAATTGTTGGTAGCCAGCATTGAACATGCCCTAATTGGCCAATTAAAAATTTGGCTCACTAAGATTCGAAGCACATCACAGCCATGTTATTTGGCAGCTCGGGTTTCGCATTCAATTCTTGAATTTTTGCCAATAAATCTGAGACTGCCAGCTGGCCAAAATATTGTTTTGTGCTGATTTTAACATTCAACAATATTAAATAACAGTCAAATAGTGTCTAATCCTTTTGCGCCTCAAGGACTTTAATTTTCAGCTAGACTTTGAAGAGGAAATTTGCCTAATGCGAAATCTGTTTAAATAACTGATTTGTTTGCTATAGCATACTCTTAAGCATGTTTTTAATTATAATCAAGACTCTAGGACATGGAATAGAAGTCATATATAGGAGAGCACCGACAGCTCTAATGCCCAATGGATTTAGAAAACTCATCTATCTAGAATTGATTTTCAAGGCATATTCAAACTGACTTAGGATGGAGCTAAGAATTTAAGCTAATTCCTCGAAATTATTCGAAATTAAATAATATAAAAGTGAAAGTATAAATGAAGCCCTGCTACATAATAAATATTATTGCATGTCGAAGAAACAGATCAAACAGAACGGATGAATATATTGCATAGTTAGTTGCGTTAAGAAGCTTGGATCGATCATTGTTTTCTTATATGAAAACCATATTCCATTTAAATCTCACAAATTACGAATTTTACTATGCTTCTATTATTATTATATATCAAAAATGTAGTTATTATAGAGCCTGTCTGTCTGGAAGGGTATTTGCTCTTCTGTACTCTAGAACTTGTTTGGCTTTGACTTGTTTTGCTTACCAGTTGTTTTCGACAACAAGGATAATTACAGGACCTTGGTCATGCTGGCAATGCTGTGTGCATAATTTCGCGACTAATTAGATTGGCAGCACACAAATGTATGCAAGAGCTAGAGCTAGAGGCTGGACGTGACCGAACTTACCCAGGTATCCCACCAGATTCCATATGATTTGCAATGATAACATCATTGGACCAAACGTCAAAATGCCATTTCTTGTTGCCGAGTACTCCGCACATCACCGAGCCGCTGTGTATGCCGATGCGCATGTTGAGGTCAACCTGCGGAATTAACAGGCCCCGAATTTACAGAATATGCAAATCACGTGTTTAATTACAGCAGCAGCAGTAGCTGCACCTGAAACTGATACTGCAATTGTAGCTGCAACTGCAACTGCAATTGCAACTGCCGCATACTTTTGGGGGTCGCTGCAGTTGTCAGAGTGTCAGTGCCAGTGTCTGTTGCACTGACCGTCATTCGGAGACTGCGTCGGCCAATTGTCATTATTTAACAGCAGCTTTCACATTCATTAAATGCTCTTAAAGGTCACAAGAGTTAAGAGAAGCTGACTGCCCTACTCGCTGCGTCAAAAAAAATCTATTAAGTTTTTTTTTTTCGCACTCTTCGTACATTGTCGGGCATGAAAATTTAACACATATTTCTTGCTGTTGCTTGCATACCCTATTCAAATTGACGCCATGGGTAAAGTAGGGTATAATGAGTTTATGCAAATTTATGCAACAGCCTGAAGATAATGAAAAAAGAGAGCATAGAGCATATATGTTCTTGTTCAGTAACATTACGATAACTATACAGCGATTAAAATCGATGTTCCGCTTAAGTTTTAGTGGCAAGTCTCAAAGCTTATGCTTAAAAAAACAAATTTATTTTGAGAGGTTATCTAGACGTCTAAAGGTATAGACGTATGCTCAGTTGAAAGCTATATGTTTTCTGAAAGTTTCATAAAGATGGGACCATAAACATCAGCTCGGCGCCGTATCACAGGGCATCCATTAGTCGGACACTCTCGTCCATAGCACTCTTACATATTTTCGGAGCTGTTGCCGTTTGTGACTGCCTTTTGCTCTGCTGAGATTTGCATACAAATGAATTGTCAACACGTCCGGCAACAACCAGTGCGACACTACACGGGGCCGGGCCACAGAGGCCGACACAGCGGGCAGAGCAAAAACAATGTGCAATATTCGTAAAAATAAAGCGGCTTGCTGCAAAAAAGGAATGCCAACTAGCTGACAGCTGAAAAATTTGCGGCATTAAATTTTAAAAAAATATTTGCGGGCTTCCAAAGTTTTACAGCACCCGGCTGCATAACAGATACCTGTTATTGACTAACAGCTTTCTGTTAGACGGCAGCTGTTAATTTCAAGCTGCGCTCAAAAGTATGCATCAATATGTGTTCGTTCTGTTAACGGAAGACGAAAACTTTGCAACTTTAATTGCCCATATTAAATAATTTGAAAATTAACGTTCAATGAAAAAATTTAAAAAAAAAATCCAATTGCTCGCCTTAAGAAGTCACTCATGAAAAAATTGGCTCTTAATTGGCATCCCATTACAACAATTTCCTGTCACTTACGTGCGTATGCAGGCGGACATCCTTGATGGCCTTTATCATGTGTAGCCCAGTTTCGACGCTACACACCGCATGATCCGGTCGCGTCTTCCAATTGTCACTTTCGAACTGCGACACGCAGTAATAGCAATCACCGAGCAGCTTCACGCGCAGGCAATGATTGTCCTGTGGACCAGGAAACAATGTAAAATTCGAACCTCTCTAATGCTTCACATATGGAACAGGACACTTACCTCAGCAATGCGATCGAAACGGGCGAAAAGGTCGTTTAAGATTTTCACCAATTGCTGAGCCGATGTTTTGCTCGCCAGCTCCGTGAAGCCCTGCAGGAATTAGCTTTAATTGTTAGCCAGATCAATAAATTAGCTATATAATTTGTTTACCTTAATGTCCGCAAACAGGATGCTCACGTTGTCCATGGGATACACGTACAACTTGTTGAACTGCGTCTCAACTGTTGGATCCGTGCCCTTGTACATTTCGCTGCGTATTTGATTATTCACAATGTTGGGCAAAACTGTAATAGGTATGCAAAAGCCAAATAATTTCAAATTCGTCTTAACTAAAGTGTAAATTTAGAAGGCAACTTTTGTGGTCTTTATGCAGCCAGGGCCTGCACTCGTTAAGCAACTCACAATTACTGAGCACACCTCAAATATGAGAATCCTGGCAGCTTCCTAATGATTACCTGCAGCTATTCCCTTCCAGTTACCTGGCTCTGAGTTCAACGGAATATCATTTATTTTAAGACCCGACAGCTGCTTTTGCTTTTCTTTCTCTTGAATCTCTTCTTTTTTTTGTTATATGAGAGCCTGGTCTGTTGCTTGTTTGTGTTCATCAGGCATATAATCGAAGCTATGTTGCAAGTATTGCAAAATATTGTGCTCTTGACAGCTTTGACAATTCCTTTGGTCTTAATCTGATGGCTTTTACATATATAAAATACGCTATAAATAGCAAAAGCTCAAATGAAGCACAATAAAACATTCCCTCACTACTAGAAGAAATGTACTCGATGTTGCACGGGTTAAATAAATCATATTGAAAATAATATGCGAATGAACACAAATTAAAGAAACAAATGAAAATTCTCGCTAATAAGTTCGAAGCAAAAAGCTGATCTAGTGCTCACTTTTCAGCTAACCCTTATTTTGACATAAAGATAGTTGTCGGATATCTGCAAGTGGACTTACTTGAATCAAGCAATTTCTGAGTGCGTTGCAGCTCCTTTTCGGACTCCTTTTTGTGCTCCATTGCCTTGTGGGTCTCAATGAAGGCCAAACGCTGTCCACGATCTGTCAGATACTTCGTGTACATGCCGGCCACATTAATGGCCGTGTACAGAATGAAATTGGCAATGATTTGAAACAGAACGCAGTTGTGATCCAATGGCGTCTGAGAAGAGAAAGAGTAATAGAAATTGCAATCCAAAAAGTATAAGGTCGTGTGTGTGTGCTTTGTACTACCTCCTTGTCCTGCAATTTGTTGATTGTGATTACGGCCAGGTGGCAGCTGGCTGTGATTGTGCCGCCGACGACGCACCATTTGAGGGGCAACGGCAACATGGCGTAGGGCACAAATATGACAAACAGAATGTACCAGACCAGGTACTCACGATTCTCAAAGCCAACGCCTTCGCTGATGAATCCTGTCGCAGAGGCAATAAAACATTTATGACGGCCAAAGGATTAGGACATTTAACGGCAAGCGCATGTGACGCATGATTTATGTGCCCAAGCTCCCTTCCCCCCCTCACCTTGTATATTGAAGAGCACCCACGTGCAGACGGCCGCCCAGTGCAAATAATTGTTGGCAAAGCAGCGCCAATAGCCCAGAAAGCAAATGGCCAAGTTGGCAATCCCACAGCAAACCGACCAGGTTATCGCAGTCGCTGTGCTCGCCTCGTCCGAGCTCTGGATGGACTGTAGAGAGAATTTGGCATAGTTTTAGATTGGAATCAAACACTTGACATTAATCCGCTTACAGTCTCCAAGCGCTCCTCCCTGGGCTGCAGCATCCAAATGAGCGCCATTACAATCTTTAGCACAAAGTCCACCACATTGACGATTATGAGGGATTTCTGGCGTTGTCTGTGCGTGTAGGTCAGATAGCTTCTCTCCAGCGAGCTCTGCTTGAAGGAGTTCGTCAGCGAGGGGCAAAGTATGCCCTTGACCACGTTGCCGCTTTTAAAGGCCGAATACGTTTCATTAGTCAGCGGACGTTGGGGTCCAGCAATGCTGGCTATGGATTCACCCGATTCCAGTTCATAATCTGTCATAAGTAAGTTAAGAATATACTATTTTTACACGAGCTACATAGTCAGATATTTACCAAAGATAAATTTAATTGTCTTAGAATCCTTTACTGACCACCTGACTGCTCCGATCTAATGTACTAACTTCTACTCTGCTCTTGGCTGACGAGCTTCAAATGAATCAATACTTTATTTACCAGGCTTATTAACCAGCTCGTAAACCTGATTAAGAACTATTTTTGAAAGTTATGCGAGCTGTTTCGAATGAAATGGGAAGCTTTACAAGTCAACATATTGAATGCTTTATTATGCATTCCATATATCAGTATGGCGACATATGGAATACATTCTGAAGCACCTTCGTTTAACATACAAATATCAAGATACTTAACAAGAGGAGCATATAATGGGGCTGAAGCTGATATTTGTGGCTGACATTTCGGTTCATGACTGAGTGGATCCAGTCCATGTGGTACCACACGTCCGTGTAGACCGATGGCATACTGCCATAACCGCAGCCGAGGCCATATGAGGCGATGCCATAAATTGTTAAATTCAATAATAGCGGATCGCCGGAATCGCCCAGGCAGGGATTTTCATCGTATTTAGGATTCATATTGCCGGCGCACAACATTTCCGGTTTGAAATTTTCGATCATAGACTCACAAACATTTCTTTTTTGTAACGTGACATCGATAAACAATAAGCTGGACGCCAGAGGACCGCCCTGCAAACAATAAGATAACATGAGCTCAGCTCTTTAAGACAATCTTTGGAGTCAACCCAACTTTATACACGCGTCCCCAGCCCAGGACCCTGTAAATAAGATCAGTAGCGGGTGGTTGAGTGGGCAGATTGATAATGCCAATGTGCTTGCTCGCGGAGGGAAGGTCATAGGCCAGCTTCATAATCGCAATATTATTGGTATTGTACACGGTATAGTTTGTCGGGACATAAATATCCGAAACCGGAACATTTTGAGTGTCACCCGTGACAATCTTCAGACGGTTCGGCGCTCCAGCAATAACCATCAGCATCCGACTTCGAAACAATATCTTATGATCGCTTTTTTTGAAAATGGATTACTGCTGGATCAGTAAGTATATCTGGATGCTATATACCTACTCCATGACGCACACCGCGGCTGATATCACAAATCGGGGGGATATTATGGAGCCGCCACAGAAATGATTGTCGCCAAAGTAACTTTTCGGCGAACGCGACCTAATCGATACGACATATTTGGCCATGCTTTCGTACACTTTCCGATCAAAATTGGGTGTAGCCAGACGCTTCACTCGATTCACTCTTGACTCCTCTTTGCCGCTAAGAACCAATGCCAATATAACCAGCAGCTGCAGCAATTTGCTAATGTCTCTCTCTCTGTATCTCATCGTATGTTGTAGAAAAAATATATTTCATATTCAAGTATTGTTGACACTGACGTAGATTGAATAAGTTCGGAAAACAGCTGGGACAAGCAGTTATATATATTTACAGATGTGAAGAGAAATAAGCGAGAGAAGTGCACTTAATGCTGATCATATATTTTAAAAATAATAAAATATGTACTTTAATAATAGCAGTAAGTGTCTACAAAACGCAGCACAATCAAGGAATATCTAGATGCCGAACCGGATTTATAGATCATTCTTTTGATATTGTGAAACTAATTAATAATCTTCTGGTAAAAGAAGTACATTTTGTGCTGCTTTTTCTAATAAGGGAGCTATATGATATAGTATGCCCATATTTATGAGATTTAGTAGAAGCAGAACTTAAAAACAAATACGTTTTTCATAAAAAATCTACATTTTTCGACCGACCTCTTCTATATCTGATGTAGTCTGATCGGAATTTGGCTTAAATGTTTGCATATGTCAAGAAAGAAGAAAGGTAAAGAAAGGTAACTCAAAAAAGTTCTACGTCTGACCGATGAATGTTTTATGATATAGATTTTCGATCCATGAGGTGATAAATGCATTACTCTTTTCTCAAGGGCCTCTTTAGGGCCATGGCAATCAGCTGCCTTGCAAGGGCTGCTCGAGCTTAATTGCGGTCAGTTAAACCTGCTTAACCCTTAGTCTTTGGCTTACCAAAATGGCTGTTGCCAAATATGCTGCAGCTTTCGGTGCGTCGCTTGGGTCCATAGCCAGATTTAGCCTCCACGATGCGCACGGATTGCACACGCCGCGGCGTTGGCTTGGCCGTGCCAGCGCCCTCGGGTCGGTCAATGGCCAGGTTGACGCCGAGCATGGCCTGCTGTTTCTTGCGCAAATTGGACAGAATTGATGCTGTGGAGGCACGCAGCGAATGGGGCAGATCGCCGCTGTCGTCCATCTGGGCGCCGTCGCCGGGCAGGCGTGGTATTTTCGACATATCCAGAGTTGGGGTGCACGTCATGCTTGTGGCTGCTTCCTGCTGTTTTTGTTACAGTTTAGCTTTTAATTAGCCCTAAGTGCTGGGCACAATTCAACTTACCTCGGGCGTAGCCACTGCTTCGCTTGTTGCTGCTGCTGTTGCTATTGTTGTTGTTGTTGCAGTTAAAGTTGTTGTGGTTGTAATTGTGGCTATAGCTGCCATTGATGTGGCTGTAATCTGCTCATCATTTGTGGTCTGCGCTGCGGGATTGCTCAGACCGGGTCCGCTGTTCATGTTGTCGTCGTTCACGTCATCGTCATCGCTTTCCAGCCTTAGATCGTCTATTTGTGCCAAGGTAATCGCCCCCTTGTCGACTGCACGTCGCAGCACCACGCCCTGCTCCGGCTCAGTTTCCGGCTCCTGTAGTGCTTGGGCGCGCTGCGTTAGTTCCGGGGGCGCGGAGTGTGTTACGCTGTTGCTCTGGCGGCGCTGCTGCAGCGCCGAAGACGGCGTCGAGCTTAGCTGCCGCAGATGCACCTCATCCGAGACCAACTTGTCGTCATCGTCATCCATGTTGCGCTCCTGCTCCTGCTCCTCCTCGTCGGTTCTGCAATAAGTGAGCAGTATATATTCTGAGCTGTTGGCTTTAATAAGAAGTATATGGATGGCGGGTGCGAGCATCATCATCATCATCATTATCATCATCGTCAACATCAATGAAATTTAGCATTCAATTTACGCTTTGAAGTTGTCAACGATTTAATTTTGCTTGTGTGAGCCAAGTCTGATTGCCTTCGCTATCTCTGGGCCATTGAAAGGCGACGACACTTCTAATGAATACAAACACTTCCTACCCTCACACAAGGATTCTTCAAGTGACAATCAAGTTTGAGCCTGGCACCAAATGTAAATGGTTTCTAAGCGCCGACATTTTCGACCAGGCGTAAAGCCATTTGCCAAGCTGGCCGGTCCCCGGGGAAGGGCACAATAAACTAGAACGGATGTGTCAGTCCATAGGAAATGATTAATATAACTATGTAGTTTGTCTTGAATATGTAAAGGGCGAGGAAACTGCTTTAAAATGTCATAGAACCGAGCAAACATTTCCTTGCGTTTATGCAGACAACGAAGCTAGACACGAATAACTAAAATAATTACCTAAACATAAGTAGCATAATTAAGATAAACATGCATTATACAAATATTTTCATATTATCATAATCATAAATATCTTGTCTTGAATAGAAAATCCTGCAGGGCTAGAATGTCGGAGATGAGACACATTGTTATTAAGGCTGGGATTTTAATAAATAAACTTATTCAATATATATTCATATAATTTTGTTCTTTCACATATCGAAGCTTCAAGCAAACCAAAGACAACGACGAGTTGTGACTCGAACTGAATACATTTATATACAAAAAATGGTTTGGCTTTAGCAAGAATATATTCGAGGCAGACCCAGCTCTAAAGCCTTAAAAAATTGATTTATATTATAAAAGTTTAGAAATTAGAGAAAAAACCAAGGTCTCTATCAAAATCTGGCCTCAATGCTAGGATAAACTATGCTCACGAATCGAAACTAAAGGGAGAAAGACAATTTGAATAAAAAATAGAACCAATCAAATTTGTTCTGGATTAGCAGACCTTGTTGTCCCCATGCTGATTGAAGTATATAATTAAATAAATAACATATCACATGTAAGCCACATGGAACTGTTAAAAAATCGCTTTAAAGCTGTCTTCATTTCCAGCTTAGAAATAAAATGGAAAGATGCCTGTTTTTTCTTTAAGCATAAACAGTCGTATGACCCCAAGAACAGCTATATTTGAGTAATCCTTAAAAGGCATTAAAGGATAATGCTGTTCTTAATGCATTTCAGCCGGATAGCGCATTAAAACTTGAACATTTTTTTTATGCCGAAGCGGTCGGGCACGCGCCACGTCGTGTAGGTTACCCGCATCGGATACGTGTTTTGTATTGGTATATTTACTTCCATATTCCATATAACAGTTTATTCAAGTTAAATTCACGATGGCGCAGCGGAAACGCAAAATGGCGACGGCGACGACGACGGCGGCGACGATGATGACAGTCAACAACTAGAAAATGGCGCGATGATGTCGTTCTCATTATTCAAATTAGCATTTAGACACACACGGCTGCACACACACACACACGCGCTCGTACACACACACACACACACACACACACACGATCTCATTCATATGCGTCATGTATAGAAATCGTAGCATACTTTTGGGCAAAGTAAATGCTGTCGGGCATATTGTAGACCTAACAGAAACAAATTCCAATAAATCGCAGCAGCCAAGAGACATGTTTGTACCCACACATACATAGATAAACATATGTACATATATACCATATATATACATATATATACATAAGTACATATTTATATAAATAAAAAGAGAATTAAATTTGGAAAACACGCTGATTCGACAAATTTTATGCGCTCTTCTCTCTGGTCCAGTACATTAACATTTATTTTTCGCACTTTTAAATACAATTCAATTTTTATGTGTTGCCAACTGTCTGTCCGATTGTCCGAGTGTCCCTTGAAATTTTTCAATTTACTTTAACGAGTGCTGCGAATGAAATTTGCAACCGAGAAAAGATGTTCAGTTCCCTTTGGCGGTTGCTGCCCACCTGGCTGGAAAAGTTGGCAACAAGTTTATCAAATGGGGCTTTATGTTATCTGCCGCACATATGAAAATACACATATAATTATATTATATTTAAGTTGAATGCGGTCTATTTCTGGCTTGTTTGTTCAGTTGGCCATTGTATAGCACGTTTTTGGGCGCTATAAACTTTTCCCTATACTCGCCTATGCGTATCTAAGCATGTTTGTGTTTGTATAAGTCGCGCTGTCTGCACTTCCGTCGCCCCCTCCAGCCCCCGCCCGGTCACATTATATATTTTTGTTATCGGTTATCATTTGGCAATGTGGAAAACAAACGTTGTATAATGCGAACAAGCCGCAATTGAGGTTTGATTAATGTGTCCTCACTGAGAGATAGCTAGCGTTGAATAGATGATTGCATCATTTAAATATTGCTTGAATTTATAAGCATAAATAACATTATAAATACAAATAATATTATTCAACATGTGCATGTTGTTTTATTGTTGTGAACAATTAGCTTGAATGTTGAGAGAAGGCCAAAAATGTTGTGTCAATTTTAACACCCCTTTAATAAGTCTTAATCGATTTATGGTCTATTGTCGGTGCTGTTGCTGTTGCTTGAAGTTCGTAATTTACACACCTGTTAGCTTTAATCCCCCAGTCGCAGTATCACATGCCACACACCTGTCGAGTTGTTTTTCCTATTCATTACTTGCACATACGATTAGCACATTTTCTAAATGTGATACGAGTTTGGTTTTTCGACGAAATTTTAAAGTTGCATTGTTCTTATTTTCTCTTTTGCACAAAACCAGTTAGTTGTTACTGTCGCTGGTTGCGGATGAGTAATCCGAAAGATAAACAAAGAACACAAGCGTTTTGTTTATCAAGCGAGCCGCACTGCAGCCAGCGATGGCCAGATAAACGCCTAATATAATTATCACTTATATAAATGCGATGATAATGGCGCAACAATATTCAAAATACAAAATCGATAAAGTGCCTGGCAAGCAAGCGTATGCGATTTTTAGTGGCCCAACTTTGTTGGCCATGGTTTAATGCTGATAATAGCGTTTACTTTAAGCGCAGACTGGGCTTAACCGAATCTCATTTCACTTTTCACTTTTCGCAATTTTGGAGCCCCGTCTCATGTGACTCTCCACTTGGCTGGGACTTGCACTATGCTCTGTGGCCAGCAGAAATTGAAGTTTTGTACGGCAGACTCATAAATATATCTCTAATGTTGTGTCACAACGCGCTTTGTTATATTTTTATTTAGTTCGCGTCTTTCACATCGAACTGGCGTTTGGCAACTGAGCGCCAAATGCGACATATACTGTCTATAATATGAGTATCAAATATGAAATATGGCACTCAGCAACGATTTCCATGCTCAGTTGCCCGTTCGCTGGCCAATATTTTTGCTCATATGGTAATTGAAGTGCTCTCCGGCTAGATGATAAATACGAGTAAAAATTAATAATCGATTATTATCGGATTGAATAAACCAGGAGCGGCTTTCAACGGGAAAGAGATTAGGGCCGGGAATAAATTAATGGAGTTTCTAGAAATACAGAAGTATGAGAGGGACAGGGGCTAAAATGCGGAATTAATGTAACGAGACAGAAAAAAATCATCTTTAACTCTAAAAAGCATTTATATTTTGATCAGCTCTATCATGTGGTCAGTCGATCAATCGTTTTTTCTCCCGATATACATCAACTTTACATATAGGTGCTCCTAGAGTAGGCATCTATTATCAGTTCTTTAATATCGCTTTTGGTTCTTCCAGATGTGAAACCCCCCAACTTGGGAAAAATAGGCATAAAACTACATAAAAGTAAAAGGAGGGAAGAGTGTTTGTGAAGGCATTTCGAAGTTAGATACGGGGTATTTCCTAGTCGAGCGCTCTTGGAGATCACTCATTTACTTCAATTGTGGTTGGACGAGCGGAAGTATTAATTATCCATCTAATAATTCTTAGACTGTAATCTGTTAGAGTGTATTCATCGTCGACAAAAAATTGTATTTCTTTATAAGCCGTGAACTTAAAGTCCAAGCTTGGAGCAACTTGCTTCAGTAGGGTGGAAAGAAATTCCGTTTATAGGGACAGACAAACGGACGGTAAGTATTAAGATTATTCCACGTTTCATACTTTATTTTGTAGCACTAAAAATTTAATTTAGCTATTGTTGAACTATGTTCCTCAACAAATTTAACTTGTATTCTCTATGGTTATTTGCTTTAAGGAATTTCGGAAATATGACGCAATCAATTAGACTTTCTTCTGCCTTTAATTTCCGCTAAAATAGAACTTTGATGAGTTTCTTATCTTGTCCATATCAATTCATTTCATTAATTTTACTTGTCCACTTATCACATATATGTATCATCATCATTATTACCATGATAGACCATGGCTACCTGCTGCAATTCACCTGTCACAACACGAAAGGTAGTCAAAGGAAGTGGTCCGCAGAGTATCAGCCCCGAGCCAATCTATGTACATTGGTAAGACATTTAAAATGGGAAATGGGCGGGCTTGTCGATAAATGTGTTCGATAAGAACATTATTCAGAGCTTGCGTTGTGCGGGCATTAGCATTGTGCACCCCCTACCACCCCCTCCCACCCAGGCCATTGTCCAGCACAGCTGCTTGCTAATGCCCGTATAATATGTTAGCGCCTTGCGCCTGGGTGCAGTTTAGTTATTTTTTTGTTGCGCAGGATATTCTTGTTTCTTGTCAGCTGATTGTGTTGCTGTAGGTGTGTGTGCGTGCGTGTGTGAGTGTGTGTGTGATATGATATGAAATGTCAAGGCATGTCTGCAACGTTCGCTTTTATTTATGTAGGCAGCTGTTGGGAGGTTGGCTGCAAAGTCGCCAGCCATGAGTAGGCCAGGTCTGAAGGGGGTAAGTCCTT